CTCGGAGCTCGTCAAACTATTCGTCAGTGAATCCATCGCGGGGAAAAGAAATCGAGGTTAGTCAGGGTTACGCAAGGTTGAATTCAATGCCCGTCGAAAAGATGCGCATACGTCAAAAGGAATACCCGCGTTATACATACGCCTAGACGTATCCCTTACGTATAAATGGAGATCGAGATAGATCGATAGACCTATCCGTGTACGTATACCTCGATGTATACCCGTGTATGGACGCCGATGTGTATTTTGTTAGATAGGATGGGTGGTGCACCGAACTTAAACTAAACTAAAAAAAAACTCGTCAATGTTAAGGTTTACACTAATTACAGTCCCCCCCCCCCACACGCACGCGTAAATGTAAAGGAACCTGATAGTGTAGTACTTATTTATGATACTGAGTAGTCGTAAAACGAAACTTTTACTTACCGATTGACAGTTTGGAAATAAAAGCAGGATAGATGAAATCACCGAAGAGCACACAACCCCACGACCCCTCAACCCCATAATACCGCAGCCCACTTGATGGTTAAAATTCAATCAGTCTAAATAGGAATAAATAGATCAATAAATTTATTTATTGATTTCCTTATTAACGTATACATAGAAAATGAAAACAAGTGCAGGTAATCATGTAGTTTTCGTGGAAAAAAGGAAACATCTACTAAACAGAATAAGAAATTTAAGAAGAGCCAGGAAATTCGGAAGAGAAGCTCCACCACCGAGGGATTCCGATTTGGATTACATAAAAATGACGTTAACGTAAACTAACCAATGCGTCCCATCGCGATAGGTCGCCCATCGGGATCACCTACCATCGCAGGAACGTGCTCGGGGACCGCGGAGTGCAGCGCACTTTAGACGCCCCGGTCGAAGGTCGTGGAAGCGGCAACCTCGGCTGCGTGGAGGCCTCGGGATAGACCGAAATCGCGGAGGCCGTTTTGGCGGAAACGACGTCGCCGTCGGTCCTGCCGACCCGCTCGGTGGCGGCGGCCCCGGGCGATGTGGACGCCAGGGCGGACCGCCGGGAGGCCAGGACGGAGCGGCGGACCTTCCGCACGTGCGCCGAGTCGGCCGGAAGCCCCG